ACCGGTAGCCAGTGCAAGGAGATAAAGAGAGGTGTAACATGGGCTCTTTTGGGCTCGTTGAAGACCAGTCGTACCGCTGCATTCTGAATCATTTGTAGAGGTTTGATTGTGCTTGATGGAAGTCCAGCCAGAAGAGCATTGCAGTAGTCCAGCCTGGAGATGACAAGGGCCTGGACAAGAAGTTGTGCAGCATGCTCCGTTAGAAAGGGCCTGATCTTTCTGATGTTGTGCAATGCAAACCTGCAAGATCGAGCGGTCTTTGCAATGTGGTCTTTGAAGGTCAGCTGGTTATCAAAAGTTACACCAAGATTTCTGACCGAAGTTGATGGGGTAATTGTAGAAGAACCTAGCTGGATGGAGAAATCATACTGTAGAGTTGGAGTGGCAGGGAAGACAAGAAGCTTTGAACAAAAACATGTCTTTGTTCAAAGACTGTAATTATGTAATAATGCAGCGGTGCATGTGTAACTCTGCCTGGACTCATGCGGCTCTTGCTGTCTCTCATTAAACACAGATCTCTGAAGGGCAGCCGGGTGACCTTCATGTCAAGCAGCTCTTCAGAAGTGTTTTTGGCTTCAGTCAGTCAGTGTGTGTGTGTGTGTGGTTTTATGCCGCTTATCTGTGGCTTCTGTTTTGGTTTTAGTGGAGAGCAGACAAATCTGAGATAATTCAGCCTGTCATCACAGATAAACATGAGAGCACTCGGACAATCTAAGACCAGAGAAAGCAAAGCGTCTCTCAGCTATCAGAGAACTGATTGTTTAGTAACTCTCATTCTTTCAATTCATTCATTCGTGTCTCATTCACTGCTAGAGCTTTCAAGCCACCTGATACTCGTCTTTGTGAAACTTTTGGGAGAAAAACAAAGTACAACTACATTCTTAAGAGCAGAAGGGCACTGAAGGACAAACAGAGACACAAGATAATCAAAGTCCACCAAACCGGACTCAACTGAACACACACACACACACACACAGATGGCAGACATGCGCTGACGTGTGTAACTCATGAGGAATCTGGACAAAAGCATGAACGGACTGCCAGCTCTCTCTCACATACACACGTGCTTTGATGTTACGGCACGATAGTGAACTGATTTCCTCTCCCATAGAGCAGCACAGAACGAGCTGATCCTAAAAGACCACTGGCCTTTAATATAAACACACCGCATGCAGGACATTTACAACTTTTCATTTCGAGGATGCATATGAAACACTTAACTATAACCCCTCCAGCTCTATTATAAGACCAAACGACTGTTTTTGTTTCTGTGAACTAGAACAAATTTCTGGACTGTAGTGTCCTTCAGTGAGGTTTCAGGACTTTAGGAAGTGACCTCTGTCCTGTTATAATGTGATTACACACTCATTCAATTGGTTTAGTTATATAGGACATCACATGAGACTGTTGAACTCTGTCCCAAATCAGATCACAGACTAGTATCTAACTATGGGCTCGTCAATGGCTGATTTATATTTATATTTATATATATATATATTTATATTTATATTTATATATTTATATTTATATTTATATATATAT